TAAAACACTTATCACCGTGGGCTCCAGTTGTATGTGCAACATTACAGAGCATTTCAATTAGAAGGGACCGTACATACATTGTCTTTGCTCCTCACAACAACCCAGTAAAATAGGCGATTGTTACAAGGGAGAGTCTGATCCCTATTCTATGGATGAGAAGGTGAAGTGCTGAGCTTTACACTAATAAGCTACATGGTCTTAAGCATATTGGACTTCCTGTTCCCTGCTTTCTTCACCTGTAAAATAGAAATCATAAAGCCTATCCTTGTTTCCCTCAAGGATCTGTTATAAGGATCCATTGAGGTGACCGTAAAAATGACCTGAAAAATCCAAATCCCTACACAGCTTCACAAGATGATTGATCTTCTACCAGCTTTCCTCTGATGCCTTTTGGTAGCACAGAAGTAAAACAAGGTTCTGAGGAAAAATCAAAGGAGCCACATACGTCAAGCTGGAATAGTGTTGACTCTATGTCTCCACTAAGTCAAGTGCTGAACTTTCTTATTTACCACCATTCTAATGGAAAACCACACACAACTTTAAAGGTGGGAAGGTGCCTAAGCCTTCAGCTACAGAAAGCACTTGTGCCAACGCCCAATAGGCCCAGCACACCTGCTGGAGAGGCTCTTCTCCCAGGCCTCCAGAGCAATGCTAGATCAGCTCTCCAGGGCTGACCTGAAAGCCAGAAGGAAGAACAGAAGCCTCTCCCACCCAGTGCTTTCCTTCCTTCCGGGATCTTCGTCTACCATCCCCAGGGCCAGAGTCCTTTCTTAATATACATTTTAGAAGACCCAGCCTCATGCTTCCTTAGTATTAACCAAACTAGCTGCATCTCCAACACAGCTCTGAAAACCAGCTGAGGCACCATGCAGGACTGTCTGGGCAAAGGTTTGTCCCAACGGAAGCTTAAGTAGAGACATTTCCCCTACACCATGGTGCAGAAAATAAACCTGGCCTGGACGTATATCAAGGGGACCAAAGTTTGAACCCTAGGTCTTTTGCTTGCTACCTATATAGCATGGAGCAATTCACTAGCAAGTCACAATGAAATTAGTGGGAAACTTACCAGCAGTGGTGTGACTTTTTTTTTTTTAAGTTTTCAAGATGGCCCTCTTTCTATGGGAGCACGCCATCTCACCAATACCAGGGAACACATACCTATTTCCCCCCGTGGCCCGAAGTTTGATGTGAAGGGCAGTGATGCCGAGCTCTTTACATCTCTGGGCGACATCCTGAGCGGCCAACATCGCAGCATAGGGAGAAGATTCGTCTCTGTCAGCCTTGACCTTCATCCCACCAGTTACTCGGCAGATGGTTTCTCTGTGGACAAAGACGCCACCGATCATTAATCCAAACAGAAACTCATGGTTTCATGTAAGGTGGGAGACAGCCGAGATTCTCAGTAGGACCTTTATCTAAATACTCACTTGCCAGAGAGATCAGTCACATGGACAAAGGTGTCATTGAAGGAAGCAAAGATATGGCAGACACCAAACACGTTCTCCCCCTCTGCAACTTGAGGTCCGAGGCTGATGACCTGTTCTTCCTTCTTTTCCTTCCCCTTGCGAGGTGCCATTTCTGAACAAGAAAGATACATTTTCAAACATGCAAAATACAGGCCAGGTTTATACTTGTAGTTCCATAGACTATAGGGTTTCTTCCCCTAGGACTAGTTGATGATTGAACATTTTCACTTATTTCAAAAACATACCAGATTGAGGCAATGCACATTTAAACTACACGCTAAAAGGGAAATCAGGTTGTGGTTGACCCTCCACACAAAAGCTAACAGGTCAAAAAATGAAATGCTCATTTTAAAGTGGCTATATATACACCAGCCCTTTCATATAGTGGGGGCACACACTTCTGAGTAATGAAGTGTAGAAAACTTAAGATTCCTAGACTGAGTAAGCACAAGACCTGAGTCTGAATCTTGGCTGTCACTAGTCACAGGACCTTTTAAACGGTCACTTCATGTCTGATTTTCAGTGTCTACTTACTCCATTGGAAAAAAAGAGATGATGTCTTACATACTTGTGAACTATTAACTATTAATAAATTGCTGGCAAAATTCTTTACAAAGTTGCTTATTTCACCTAGGTGAAAAATATAAAATCAATGATGTTTTTAAAAAGCTTCTAATTTGCAATCCTTCTTCCAAAAGAATGAAGTAAATAGCAGTAAAAGAAAAAAAAATCTATATAAGTCTGGAAAACACCCGAGACTTCTATTTTATAACTGGAGAGATTGAGGCCCAAGGAAAAGCTGTGATCTTACAGGTCATGAGCACCTAGGTATCTTTACCAGACAACTGCTTAATAAAAGAATTCCCCCCTTCCTTAGTTGTTCCCACCCTCAGTACCAGCTGCCATGACAGTGGCCCAATTCTTCAACAAGAGTCCCTGCCCTCAATATGCTCACATTTTTAAAATAAGATATTTAGATAATTATCACCGTCTACAATTCACAGCACTGGGTCAGGAAACAAGCACAGAACAACAGCTCATGATTAAATGCCTTTGGCTGCCATAAGAGTTCAATTCCAAGAAGTGGTGGGTAGTAAAAAGATTAGACTCAGGCCCACTTCTGAACCTGCCTCCCTGAAGGGGAGCTGATATAGTCTTACATAAAAGGTGAACCAGTATTATCTGCTAGACTGGGAGCTTCCCAAAGGCAGAAACTGTCTTATTCATTTTCTCCATATCCCAGACTAGGAAAGCACACAGGCTCATCAAGTTGCAAAGGATCTAAGAGATCACCTAGTCTACCCTAGTAATTTTACAGATGGAAGCTAAGGCCCACAGTTTAAGTGATTTACCCAAATATGCACAGGTAGTGACAAGTCTGCATCTTCAATCCTCTGAATCCAAATCTAGTGGGTTTTTTCTACTTTATTTAGCTTTCCTCCTTTCACAGAGGTGCAAGGAGTAATTTTCCACAGCACCTCCAAAACCCTAATAGTTTGATCAGCATACTGCTATTTTTGCAGAGCAGCTTGTCTAAGAAGGGATAGAGCACCCCACTCCAGGTCTGAGTGGTTTTGCACTTCAAACTGAAGTACTAAGTTCTTGCTGGTCCATAATAAAATCCAACCATAAACCACAGAATGATTGCTAGTATCTGAACTCCTAGGGAAAACACAGCAGCTGCCACTTAGCGTTGTGCTGTCTTTCCTCATTACCTGAGGTAGGTAGTACAAATATTATCTGTGTGTTTCAAATGCAGGAACAAAGTAGGGCTTAGAGGCTCAGTCCTCAGCCAGTCAGTGGGAGAAAGAGATCTCTATTTAAAAAGTTGGAAAAAACAGATCCAAATGTATATGCCATTTCTCAACTGATAAATGGTTCAAAGATAGATAGTTCTCTGAAACCCAAGCTTTTTTTAACAATGAGAAAAAATACTCTAAATCACCACTAATTAGAGAAACACAAATTAAAGCAATTCCGATTCCACTTCATACTCATCCAGAGCAGCAAACATGACAAATAAGAAAAACAATAAATTCTGGAAGGGCTGTAGGAAAAAAGATACTGCGCTGCACTGTCGGTGGGCCTATTAATAGGTCCTGAAAAACCTGGAAAACAATTCGGCACTTGACACAAAAAATTACTAAGCAATGACCCAGCTACACCACTGCTAGGCCTACACAAAAATGAGAACCAAAAAAAGAAAAACAACTCAAAAGCATGTGGAAGTGACAGCTGATAAATCAAAATAAATTAATAAAATTTTTTTTTAAAAAGGTCCTTTATGGACAAAAATTTATGGCAGCTCTTTCTGTAGTGGCAAAAACCTTAAAACTAAGGGATGCTGCTCAATCAAGGGAATGGCTGGAAAACCAGTATGAGCGTGATGGAATGATTGTGTAGAAACAGATGCTTTCAAAAAGACAAGGAAAGACTCAGGTGAACTGATGCTGAATGAAGTAAGCAAAAGCAGAACAATTTATGATATTATCATCAATGTTATAAAAAGGAACAATTTGGAGACATTTACAAACTGATTACAAATGAAATGAGCAGAACCAGGAGAATAAGTTAATACAGTAACACCAATACTGGAAAAACTGTGAAAGCTGTAGTCAATACAACGACCATTCATGATTCCAGAGAATAATCCTGAGACTCATTAATTTGTTTTGCTTAACTATGAGTTGTTACAAGAATTTCCCTCTTCTTTCCAATAGGGTGGGGAGGGAAAATAAGATTTCTGGTCATTTAAAAAACCGAGGGGGTTGCTTCAAAGGGGAAATGTTGCACATTTCGCACAGGGTCACTGTATTAGTAGTTTTGCTTTGTTACAAGAACCCTCTCAGGAAGAGTAATAAGTGTGTGTAATGTAAAACGCACACAGACGTAAGTTGGGCTTTACTCAGATTTCTTCCAGCACTGATATTGAGTACAAAAATCCCCCTTTCCACGTGTTATCCAGAGAACTAAGTCGCGCCGCCTCTGCTCCCCGCCCCCGGGTTGCCCCACACGGTCCAACAGCCCTGAAGGTCTCCCTGAGCCAGGGTCCCACGTCCCCCAACATCGGAGCCGGAGACCTCCCCTCCCCGCCTGACCCCAGACTCCCTACCCGCACCCCCCCGCTTCCCCGGTCGCTCTCCTCCCCGGCCCCAAGGCCCTCCTTCCCTGCCCGTCCTCGGACCCCTCGCCCTCCTCCCCAGAAGAGCGCGGCGGCGGTGAAAGGGCACAGCCCCAGCTTCTCTCCTAAGAGGCCCCCGGGCCCAACCAAGGCTCCTAATCAAAGGATGGGGACCGATGGTGAACAGGCCGCAGCTCCTTACCTGCTCCTCCGCCTGGGCCGCCAACACCGGAAAGGGAAAGCAGACAGTCACGGGGTCCGGGGTCACCTGCGATCACCCGGAAGTTGTACCTCGGAGAAAAGGAAGTGAATGGAAGAGCTGAATTTTTCGCATTTCCTGAAGACGAAAGTAAAACTTACATTCTAAAGGGACAAGAATAATTTGTCGGACTTCGGGAAAAGGTGAAATTTTAAAAGATTTGTCGATGTTGTTTTATAACGTCATGGGGAAGAGGAAGAGGCGTGTCTCAAAATGGCGGCGTCCAAAGGACGACATCGAGACCGTTTTTCAAGATGGCCGCTTCCGTGCCTAAACTGGTTCTTCCGTACATCTCCCCACCTCCCCCAACTAGAGGGGAGCTAGCGTGTTTAAAACCTAAAGCAATAGAGGGGGAAATTGTGATTATTATAGCTAACAAAAATAACTCTTTTGTATAATTTCTTAATGTCTACAAAACAATTTCTTCCCAGCAAACCTCTGAAGTAAGTAAATTTTTTCTTATTATATCCATTTTGCAGAGGAGGCCACTTGAAGCCCAGGTGGAGAAATTAGCTGCCCAAGGTCACACAGCTAACAAGAGTTAGAGTCAAGATTGCAACTTAACTATACATATCTGCATTGGTAAAGGAGGTTTTCTCATAGAGCCTTCCCTCTACCAATGAAATCACGTGTCTGGGCCAAAAAAGGGATTAAGGAGGAAACTTCTAAATAACAATTGGTGAGGAGGGCAGGACCGACCTCACTGGGGGTAATAGTCTGGGAGCAAGGTTAGGGGGAGGGGGAAAGGGGAATAACCAATCAATAATCAATCAATAAGCATTTACTGATCACCTACCAAGTGTCTGGCACCGTGCTAAGCGCTTCACAAATGTTACCTCAATCAGTGAACATTCATTGAGCCCCAGAACTAGTAAATACTCTGTTATAGTGGGAAGAGCCACAGACTGGGGGTAGGGGGGGTGTGGCAAGGTCAGATGACCTAAATTGTAGTTCTTGCTCTGCAATTAACTTTCTCTGTAAGGTTGGACAAATTATTAATCGTCTTCTGGCCTCAGTTCTTAAATAAGTGAGGCATCCTAGATCATCCCTTAGGTGCTTCCAGCCTGGCGTTTTGTACACTAAGGGACTTTTCAGTGTCCTGTACTAAAAACTGTGAGGGAAACTGGGAACTCACATCCTAGGGCCATATTTGAAAAGTATGTTTCCTTTCTGCCCCAGGATTGTCTAACCATAATGCCTGTCCTTGGTCCTGCATCCAGAATCACACAATTCCCAGAAAGAACAGTCACCATTCTCTTCTCTCTTTTTAATCCTTTCCACTTCTCCCCTCTCCCCCCCTCACCTCCCCCTCAAGCCAATGTCAATTCTACTCCCCCAACCCTTTCTTCGTCTCTCCTCTGTCCCAGGCCCTTTGCCTTTACCTCCTTCCCCATTAGCTGAAACCCCTCCTTCCTTCTTTTTTCAGACTTTCAGTGGCCCCTGGCTTTATTAACCATTTCTATGGCACCTTTGTCCCTCAGTCTTCAGCCTCATTAATCTCTGAGAAAGGGCCACTGGATGTAATGGCTGTGGGGCCTTGTGATCCCAGAGTCCATCAGTGTGATTTGACCAGGATAAGAAACTGGGTTCCTGCTGCAGCTCCTGGCTCCCCTAATGCACAATGAGGAGCTTTTGTTGTCTCTTTATCATTTTCCCACTCTTAAATAGGGACATTCCCTAAGGCTTTGTCCTCTGCCCTCTTTTCTTTCTACTCCCTCCTCTCTTCTCCTGTGGTTTCAGCTGTCACCTCTGTCTAAGACTTACAACTCTTTATCTCCAGCTACAACCTTTCCCCCAAACTTCAATCCCCTATTTCCATCTGACCACTGGCATCACCAGGCCTTTCAAACCTAGTATGCTACAAACAGTTGTACAGCTTCTTGCATATACTAGCCTCATCTTTTAATTTCCCTGCTTCTGTTAAGGGCATTACCATCCATCCCATCCTTCCACAGTTTCCCAGGTGTAGAACTTCTGAGTTATCCTTAATTCTTCATTTTTCTGTTAGCCTCTATATCCAACTGGCTGCCAGGTCTTATCTCTCCCAGCTTCACATCTTTTGTACTCATCCCTTCTTCACTTACACACACTAGTTAAGACCTTTCGTTACCTCTCACCTGGATGATTGCAATAACTTCCTAATTGGACTTTCCCCTTAAAGATCTCCCCTTTCTAATTTATCTTCCATACAGCTGCAAACTTGGGAGAGCAATGGTAAGGCACAGGTCTAACCATGTCACTTCCCTGCTGCTAGGCAATCCTACTATACCTGCCTTATCAACTCACTAGCCTACTGTGCACTGTGATTTTTCCAGACTTTTTCATCCAACCCTCAAACCTCCGATTATTCCTCCTCTCACTCTTACTCAAGTGCCCTCTGTCACTTTTTTCTCCTTTACTTCTTCATGGAAAAGTGGCCTTACTCCTTACCAAGGCTAACCCTTATATTTGTACAAGTAATCCATTCCATCATGTTTCCCCCAACAGATTAATCCCTCTGTCCATCCCCACTCAGTTATTTCCAGTTTCTCCTAATTCACCGACTCACTGGCTCATTCCCTACTGCCTATAAGCATGCCTCTGTTTCCCTATCCTTAAAAAAAAAACCCTCACTTTATCCTTCCATCCCTACTAATTGTCATTCTATATCCCATCTGCCCTTTGCAGCTAAACTCTTCGAAAAAGCCATCTACAAGAGGTGTCTCTACTTTCTCTTTCCACTGAAACTCCTCTCTCCAAAGTTACCAATGATTTTTTAGTTGCCAGATTCAATGATCTTTTCTCAATCCTCATTGTCCTTGACCTCTCTGGGGTCTTTGACACTGTTGATCACTCCTCCTTGGTACTCTTCTTCTCCCTAGGTTTCAGGGACTCCACTCTCTCCTTGGGTCTCCCTCTATTTTTACAATTGTTCCTTCTTTCTCCTTTGTTGGATCTTCTTCTAGTTTATGCCCTCTAACCTAAGGTGTCCTTGAAGGTTCTCTTTTGGGCCTGCTTTTTTTCCTCTTTACCACTTCACTTGGTGAACTCACCAGCTCCCATGGATTTAATTACCATCTCTATGCTGACGGTTCTCAAATCTACCCGTCCTGCTCCAATTTCTTTGCTCAGCCCCCATTTGCATTTCCAACTTCCATTCAGGTATCTTGAGTTATATGTTCAGTAGACATCTTAAACTCAAGATGTCCAAAGTGGAGCTCATCTTTCCCCGAAAAGCTCCCCCACCCCCTGCCACCTTCCCTATTACTGTAGAGGACATCACCATCCCAACCTAGAAGGCATCCTCAATTCTTTGCTCTTACCCCCAATATCCAATCTGTTGCCAATGCCTGCCAATTTCACCTTTGCAACATTTCTCAAGTACTCCCCCCACCCCCTTTCTCTCCTCTGACACCGTGTAGTGCAGGTCCTTATCACCCCATACTTGGACTATTGCAAGAGCTTGCTGGTAGTCTGCCTTCCTCAAGCCTCTCCTCACTCCAAACCATTCTCCATTCAGCCCACAAAGTGGTTTTCCTAAAAAGAAGGTCCAACCATGTTTCTCTCTCTCTCTCTCTCTCTCTCTCTCTCTCTCTCTCTCTCTCTCTCTCTCTCTCTCACACACACACACACACACACACACACACACACACACACACACACACACACTCCACCACCACCACTCAGTACACTCCTATGGCTCTCTATTGCCTTTAGCATCAAATACAAAATCATTTAGTTGGCACTCAGAGCCCTTCCTAACCTAGCCCTTCCTACCTTCCCAGTCTTCTTATACCTTACTCCCAGCTAGGTACTCTTCAATCCAATGATCCTGGCCTCCTGGCTGCTCCACAAACATTTGACTCCTCAGAGTTCCAGGCATTCTCTCTGGCTGTCTCCTGGGCCTGGAATATTCTTCCTCCTCTGCTCCAATGACTGACCTCCCTGACTTCCTTTAAGTTCCAGCTCAAATCTCTTCTCCTATAGGAGACCTTTCTCAACCCCTCTTAATTCCAAGCCCTTCCCTCTCTTCATTCCTATTTATCCTATGTATATCTGGTTTGTACATATTTGTTGGTTGTCTCCCGATTAGATTGGGAGCTCCTTGAGGGTAGAGACTATCTTTTGCCTCTTTTTGTATCCCCAATGCCTAATAGGGTGACTGGTAAATAGTAGGCACTTAATAAAGGACAGCTGGGTGGCAAAGTGGATGGAGCACGGGGCTTGGAAACAGGAAAACTTATCTTCATGAGTTCAAATCCATCCTTAGACACTGGTGTTGACCCTGGCAAGTCACTTGAATGCTGTTTGCCTCAGTTCCTCGTCTATAAAATGAGCTGGAGGAGGAAATGGCAAAGCACTCTAGTATTTTTGCCCAGAAAAACCCCAAATGGAGTCATGAAGAGTCAGACATGACTGAAAATGGCTGAACAAAGGTGCTTAATAAATATTTATTGATTGATTGATTTAAGATGCAGCTTAGGTACCATCTTCATCAAGAAGCCTTTCCTGGACCACTTTCAGGGCCACTAGATGGCGCAGTGGAAAGAAAGCTGGGCCTGGAGTCAGGAAGAACTGAGTTCAGATGTGACCTCAGATACTAGCTGCGTGATCCTGTGTGAACCTCTGTTTGACTCAGTTTTCTCATCTGTAAAATGGAGATAATAACAGCACCCACCTCACAGGGTTGCTGTGAGAATCAAATGAGATGATATTTGAAAAGTGCCTGGCACCTGGTAGGTGCTTTATAAATGCTTATTTCCTTCTCTTCCCCTTCCACTTCCAAATGAGTGTTTTCCCTGAAAGTTGTCACTTTTACAGGACACACACGTATTCCATTAGTGCACGCAGTGCTCTACACGTTGTTAGAATAACGCTGGGACTCTCGGAATGACCATTAAGACAAATCTTGAGGCAAAGAAGGGAGGAGACTGGGGAGGGAGGTGATGAAGTCACTGAGCGAAGTCGAGCTGTCATCCGCTTCACTGAGAATACTGCCAGACTGTAGAGCAAGGGTATGCGAGAAGCCACCAGACTGGAGACGCCCCGGCAAGGCTTCCGGACATGTCCCTTGATGCCAATTTACTATTTACTGCCCGAGGACTCTGGCTTTAGTCTTTTCCCTTATCCTCACACCAGCAAAGCAAACTTGACACATACTGAATAACAAAACGACAACTTCTTGATGTTGTTCAAAAACATCTATTTAAGGAGATAAAGAACAGCAAAGATAAGATGATTAAGAGACATATCTTACCCTCTCTGGACATCAGTGTCAAATAAGGAGGTCAGACCACATGGTCTGTAGTGACCTTGAAAGCTTTAAGACCTAAAATCCTATAAGTCTATTTATTAGAATACATTATATAAACTTAAAAAGAAAGAGAGAGAGAATTGGGGAATTCCAGGGAGGCATATTTCAGGTCAGTGTAAGGAAGAGCTTCCTAGCATTCAGCTCTCCAACAATGGCAGAGGTTGCCTCATGAGATAGTGAGCTTCCTGACATTGAAACTCTTCCGAGGCTACATGAAGGATACTGTAAAGGGGACTCTTGCTCAGGTATAGGTTAGAGAAGATGCTTGAGGTCCCTGCTAATCAAAATTCTTTAACTCTAAAGGTTTCTCGTGTGTTATTCCTGTCTCTTCATCTAGGAAGGAAAGGATGATAGAAAATAAGTAGTGCCGTAAACATCTATTTCATTTCTACTTTTGCTACCAAGGAGGATGATCTTTAGAATGCGAAAGATGGAAGAAAGCTGGCTTTGAGGACATCGGAACCTAAGGTATATGAGGAGACGATGAGAACACACCTAACTGCCCACGGTGAATTCAGGCGGCTAAGCCTGGATGTATTCCATCCCAAGGTGAGGAGGACCCAAGTGATTGGTTAATATGATTGCTGGACGGTGATCTTTGAGAAATCATAGAGAGGAGGAGAGGTGCTGGGAGATAGAAGAAGGATAACTTTTATCTTACTTGATCCTCACCGCAACTCTGTGAGGCAGATGCTAGTATTATGCCTACTGTACAGATGAAAAAACTGAGGCACAGAGGCAGTAAATAACTTGTTCAGTTTGAAATAGCCAATTGTAATTGGTGATATAGGACTGAACCTGGGTGGGTGGGGGAAAGATGGGATTAGGGAGTCATCTGTCCATAGGAGTTGATGGAGTTACTGAGAGAGAACATAGAGGAATAAAAGAAGAGGGCCCACGAAAGAACCTTAGGGTAAACCCACAGTTAGGGGACTTAATGTGGATGACGAGCTGGTAAAGGGGATTAGTCAGACCAATCAGGAGCTATACCAGGAAAGACTGGTATGAAGAAAACCTAGGGGGAAGAAAGTATCCAGGGGAGAAGGTGGTCAGTAGTGTCAAAAAGAGGTCAAGAAATATTATGGTTGAGAAAAGTCCTAATTTCCATCAGATTCGGCAGTTAAGGTTGAGCATTGGTACCTTGGAGAGAGCACTTTCAGTCGAGTGATGACAAAAGATTGATTGCAAAGGATTGAAGAGTGAGTGAAGGTGAACGGTGCATGTAAACAACTTATTTTCTAGGAGAAAGGGGGGATATATGCTGAATGTCCTTTCCTTGCCCTCCTTCAAGAATTCACATTTAACAGACACTTCATACCACTTACTGTGTATAAGCCCCTATTGATGCAAAATAGAAATGGCATCACCTGTCAAGGTAGTGGAGTTGGAACGCTCTTTGTTCCCCATTGCTACTTACAACCTCTCTGGCACCAACACTCAGTAACCTCTTCTCAATCCATATTTACCACCCAGTCAAGATGCTCGTAGCTGCTATCTACTGACCATGAGGACATTCTCCTTAATGAGTTCCCTGCCTGGCTCATGCTTTCTCCCCTCCTTCCCAGTTACTGCTCTCCTACTAGGGGACTCCAACATACGTGTTAATACTCCCTCAGACACTCTAATCTCCCAGTTCTTCAACTTAGGTATTTCCTGCAACTTACTTCTTTACCCTACCTCGGCTACATGCAGAGATGGTCATACTCTTGCCATCACCTAGAAATGCTCCATTTCCATGTTTATGTACTTTGAAACTCCCTTATCTGATCACAGCCTGTTGCCATTCCATTTCTCCCTTTGCCTCTACACCCTGCTTTTTGTCTTTGCCCTGCCCTTTATTGTGACCTCCCATCTCTCAAGTGATGAGTTTTTCCCCATGCCTGCACTAGCTACAGTCTCCTTTCTTCCCCAGTCTTCACATTTGCTAAACTACAGCTGTCCCTTCCACCTCTCGACTTTCCCCATTGTGGTTTCCATATGTGGTGGGTTAGCATAAGAAGTTAAATGGGAATTTTGGGGGAGTTTTGCAGAAGCCACAGATGACATACAAAGGCCAGTAGATGATGATACAGATCAGCAGATGCACAAAAGTTTAGAAACTCAGAAATGTATAAAATATGTGTATGATATTATATAATATCAACATATTTTATCCCTTAGTACCATAATTCTCTGGTATGAAGGGAGGGCCAAAAATTTTATGCGGGTTTTTCAGATCGCCAGGGCATCATGCCCCTAACTCCCTCAATGTGGAAGGGAGAACTGTCGTTCAGCTCCTCACTGTGCTCTTCCCTCGAGATCATGCCCTGCCAAACCTTAGACTTGGATGAATCCTAGCATCTGATGCCTTCATCCCTACATGTGCTGCTGAACAGAGTTGACGAGAATCACAAAACCATGCTGACTGGGTCCAGTACAAATTTACATTACATAATTTCAATTGGATGCTCATTGCAGCAAGGTAAACTTTATACGTCTCTAATTGATTCACTATCCCACTTACCACATACCTTTTCTAAACCTTTCCGTTTTTCCTCAAACCCTACCCTCTCAGTGAGAATCTTATCTCATATTTCACTGAAAATATAGAGGCCATTAGCAGAGAGTACCCTTATGTACTCTCCTCATCTCACATCACTGAGATGCTGCCACTTCTCTTTTGCCCATCTCACATGAAGACCTTGCCCTTCTCATTGCCAAGTCTAATCCCTTTTAATGTGATCCCATTCTACCCCCTTCTCCAGGATATTGCTCTCTCTATCATTCTCACTCTCTCAATAATCTTAAACCTTTTCCTATCTATTGATTGCTTTCCTACAGCCTACAGATACACCCATGTCTCCTCCATCTTCAGAAAGCCCTCATTTGAGCTATCCATCCCCAGTAATCATAGTCTCATATTTGTCTTCCATTTTATAGCTAGACTCCTTTTGGGCATTTATAAGTGCCTCTACTTTCCTCATACTCTCTTCATAGTCTCATATTTGTCTTCCATTTTATAGCTAGACTCCTTTTGGGCATTTATAAGTATCTCTACTTTCCCTCCTCATACTCTCTTCTTAAATCTCTGTAATCTAGCTTCCAAACATGTCATTTGAATTGAAACCACTCTCTCCAAAGTTACCAATGATCTCTTAATCACCTAAGCTAGTCGCCCTTTCTCAATCCTCATCCTTCTTGATCTCTTTATAGCCTTTGACATTTTCTATGACCCCCTTCTTAATACTCTCCTCTCTTTAGGTTTTCATGACTCTGCTCTCTCAGTTCTTCTCCTGCCTCTCAGACTTTGTCTTCTTAGTTTCTTTTACTGAATCTTCTTCCAAGTTCTACTAATTAACCATGGATATCTTCCAAGGCTGTGTCCTGTATCTCTTTTCTTTTCCCTTTCTACTTTTTTAATTGGTGATCTCATCACTCTCATAGACTCAACTTTTCAACCATAATCTCTGTGCTTATGATTCCTAGATCTACTTGTCTAATCCAAACTTCTTTCTTGGCCTCCTGTCTCTCCAACTTCCAACTGGACATCTTGAACTGGATATCCTATAGACATCTTAAACTCAACATGTTCAAAACTGAACTTGTTATTATTATTTACCAAAAAACCCTTCCATTTTCCCAATTTTCCTCTTCCTGACAAGGGCACTGCCATCTTCCCAATCTGCCATCCTCAGCTCCCCACTCTTACCCTGTTCTATATTCCTGTCAGTTCTACTGTCATAGTATATGCCCCTTCTGTCCCCTGACATTACTGCTGATCTAGTGCTGGTTGGAGAGAATTCCAAAGCCAGAGATAGGAAAAATCATAAATAAAGGATGGCACAGTGGATGACGCAGGGATGGAGAGAAGTCTAGTTTGCTGAAACAGACAGCAGGTAAAAAGGAACAGTGTGAGATGAGGAAGAAGGGAACAATCATTTATGAAGCACGTGTTATGTGCCAGATACTGTGCTAAGAGCTTTTACAAATATTATCTAATTTAATCTTGACAACAGCCCTAGGAGGTAGGTGCTATTAATATTCAACTGAGGCAGACAGAGGTTATGCAACTTCCCCAGGGTCACTTAAGTTAAGTGTCTGAGGCCAGATTTGAGCTCAGGTCTTCCTGACTCAAGGCCCAGCACTCCACCCATTGTCATTTAGCTACCTCATAAGATGAGGCTGGAAAGATAGGCTGTGGTCTGATTATAGAGGACCTTAAATTTTAGGCTGAGGAGTTTGACCTTTCCAGTACCAAATTGATGATCCTTTAGGAAATATAGAGGCCTGGGGGGGGGTGTAAGAATAGGGGTGATATTATGAGATGTATGTATCAAGGTGATGTCTGTGGGAAAGATGGGAAAGATAGATTGGAGATTAGAGATAGAACGACTGGTTAGGAGTCAATTATAGTATGTGAGGGAAGAAGTAATGAGGACCTAAACTGAGGTGATGGCAGTAGGAGTAGAAAGGAGGGGCCAGATATAGGAAATTGTGGTAGTAGGATCAAGAGGACTAAACCAATTTATTGGGTTAGCCTGATCAGGGACAGTTTACATGTTGTATGATTCCCTGGGGGCTGCCTCCAGTATCTTAAACTACTATATTAATGCATAAAAGGGAGTTTTATTTCTAAGAAGCATGTCTAGAAGTAGGTTTCTATGCATAACGTCAAATCTGTCATTATTTACAAAGGCAATTTGAATTCACAATATAATATTCAGTTCTAATAATTTAAGACAACCCTGTTCTCTTTCTCTGCTCTTTACTCCCTAGTAGAACATAACCTCCCTGAGGGAAGAGGCTGTATAATTTTTTATTCTTGTGTGGAGGCCTGGTACATGTGCACACTACCTTCTATAGGATCTCTCTGCCCTGTTCCCAGGAGCAATCCCAGGAGAATCACTGTGTCACATGAGGGACAAGTGCCTTGGAGAGACTAGAGCATCTGTAGCTGACTGAGATCAAATAACTGTATGTGAAGGAGCAGGCTGTTTGGCTTCAGCTTGTCAAAAGACCTGTCATTGAAGGGTGTGAACAAGCAGTTCTCAAGAGAAGACGTGCAAAGAATTCACAACCACATAAAAGATGCTCCAAATCACTAATCGTAAGAGAAACATAAACCAGAACAATTCTGACGCTTTGCCTCACGCTCTGCAAATTGGTAAGAATGACCCAAAATGGCAACGGTCAATGTTGGAGGAGTTGTGGGGAGAGAGGCACCTTCATCCATTGTTGGCAGAGCTATGAAACCTTTTGGAAAGCAATTTGGAATTATGGAAATCAAGTGACTAAAATGTCTATACCCTTTGAACCAGAGACTCCATTACAAGGAAACCACTGATAAGAAAAAAGTTCCTATGTGCTCCAAAATATTTATAGCAGGCCTTTTTGTGGTAGCTAAGCATCGGAAACAAAGTAGATGCCCATCAACTGGGGATTGGCTGAACAAATCATGGTATATGAACATAATGGAATATTACTATGCTGTAAGAAATTATGTGTGTCAAAATGACTAACATGGAAATGTGTTTTACATGATTGCACATGTATAACCTGTATTATTAGACTGCTTACTGTTTCAGGGAGGTAGAGGAGAAAGAGGGAGGGAGAGAATTTGGAACTCAAAATTTTTATAAAAAAGAATGTTAAAAATTGTTTTTACATATAATTGGGGGAAATAAAATATTATTCAAAAAAAAAAAGAAATCACATGTGTGGTAAGAAGCAGAGAAGCGTAGAAAGATCTATATGAATTGGTACAAACTGAAGTAAGCAAGGCCAAGAAAACAGTATACACAGTAACTACAACAATTTAAATGTTAAGAATGACACACCAAAAAATTAAAAAGTAAATAACAAAATTATAAAGATAAAGTGGGTACTCGAAGAGATATGAGAAGACACCCAATCTACTTCTTCACGGAGGTGGGAGGTCCACAGATGTTACACATTGCACATGTTTGTGGACTTTCTCAATGCTGACTTTGTGCTGACTTTTTTTTTCTCTCTCTCAAAAAAAATTGCTATTTGTCGTATTGAATGACTCTGTGAAGGGGATTATGATTTTCATTTTCAAGGAAAAAGACTGAGATGGGGAGGAATACATGTGATAGTATGTGATGTAAGAAACAGAAAATATCAGCAAACATAAAAAGACCTGTTAGTTTCAGCTACAGTATCTTTGCCTCATTTGACTCTGGGGCATCTCAGTTCCTTCTTCATTCATGGTGTCAAGTGAAGGGAATGGGGTCTCTGACTTTGAGAGTTTTGAAAGGTAAGGAGAACAAGCTATAGGATTCCAGGACTTTGAAGCCCAAGCCAAATGTTTCCGCCAGCCTCTCATCAATGTCCAGAAAGGCAAGGAGCAATCTTCCAAAGTGACATTCTGGACACATACCAGCAAAAGCTGAAATGAGGACTAATCCAGAAGAGATCCTGCCTTTGTACATGAGCTTGGTGGAACCAATGTGCTGTAGGAACTGAGTTAAGTTTAGGCGAATGTGGCATAGAGAAGAGTCTGCCCCCAGATATCTGGTTGGAAAATGTGCTTTGTTCTTGCTATATCTCTGAAGTAAATATCCCTTTGTAAAAGCTAATTGATGTTAAATGGAATTTTGTTGGGAATCACTGTCTCTTAATAGTAAGGGGAATAGAGCTGGTGGGAACTCCAGCAAGTGACCATAGAGAAGAGATACCCTGTCCCCCCCCACGAGGCCTGAGGGGAGATGTAGTTGGGTAGGCCCTGAGAAAATGGGGCCAGACAACTTTATGGCATTCATGTCCTCACAGAGGCATAAAACAGAAAGACATGCATTTGCTGAAGGTATTTGTCACTGTAAGGAGATTCAGCGTAAGTTAAAGTCAAAGAGAGGCTCCTTTCATATTGTGAAGTCTTCCAGCTATGCCTGTTTGCAGATCTCTTTGTGTTGATTGCTTCAATCAATAGATCGATCAAACAATCACTGGAATTTATTAATTGCTTGTTATGTTCCAGAGCCTGGAAATACAAATAGAGGAGCTAGAGAGTCCTTGACCTCAAGGGGCTTATGGGATATAACACGTTCACAGAGAAGTAAATATAGGATGTGTACAAAATAAATATGGAGTGATTGGAGGAAGGTTGGGGTCAGGGGAAAAACAACTGTGAGCATCAGCAAAGGCTTGTTGAAAGAAATGGGACTTGAGCTAATTCTCGAAGACAGTTAAAGATTCTCCAAGGTGGTGGTAAGGAGAGAGAGCAATGCAAGCATGGGGATGGCGGGGAGGCAAGAGAGGCAACATCTTGTACTGGAAATAGTTAATTGATCAGTTCGATTAGATTGGAAAAAGACTATGTTGACAGCTGGAAAGATAGACTGGAGTCAGACTGTGAAGGACTTTAAATCATGAATACGGTAGAAGAGTTTGTATTTTATTCCAGAGGTTATAGGGAACCAATAAAGCTTCTTCCATAGGCAAGTAACTTGATCAGTGACTTTTCTTTAGGAACATAAATTTGGCAGCCATGTGGAGGATGCTGTATGGACAACAGATTAGAGAGGTGAAAGCCTAGAAGCAGGGAGACCACCTGAGTGGCTATTACAATAGTCCAAGTGAAAGGTGCTGAGGGGTTGAACTAGGATGATTATGGTGTGAGTGGAAAGAAGAGGGTGTATGCAAGAGAAGTAGAGAAGAAAGAATGGGAAAAAAAACCATGACAACTTGGGCATCAATACCCAGAATGTTATAGAGGCTCCTAATGAGATATATAATCATTCAAGAGTGTCTGGCTTAACCATCCACCTGGGAAAAACTAAGTGGATAAAGATGGTGCCTATTGTGAAAACAACACTTTAAGACTTCAGAACTCTGATCAATGAGTGACCGATCATGACTTCAGAAGATTAGTGAACTATTTCTCCTGCCTCCTGATCAGTCAATAAGTAAATAAACACTTACTGAGCACCTGCTATGTGCCAGGCACTGTGCTAAGTGCTGGGAATACAAAGAAGAGCGACAGACAATCTCTGCTGTCAAGTTGCTCCCAATCCAGTGCCTCACTGCAGCATGTGTTGATTTGTTTAGCTGTATATGCTATAATTGGGGACTTCACTGTGTGTGTATGTGGCGTTAGTAATAGTGATGTGAGAAAAAGAAAAGAACATCAGTAAAACTCTGAAGTGTATCGATTGTCTTGTTGTCCAGATATTGATACGTAATCGATTGGAAATCAGAATATGTATCAGAAAATCACAGAACTTCTGAGCTGGAAGGAACCTCAGAGGCTATCTAATCCAGTTCCTTCATTTTACAGATGAGATAACTGAGGCTCAGAAAATTTAAGTAACTTGCCCAAGACTTTGCAGGTAATAAATACCAGAGGGAGGATTCAAATCCAGATCCTCTGACTCCATTACCAGTGCAGTTTCTGCCATACTACATTGGTCCATACACAAAAAAGAATCCCCACAGTAACACAAGTGGTCATCCAGTCTTCTATCTATTTTCTTCCCTTTGTGACTAATGATGTGCATCTTTGTAAGATTGTTGGCCAGGCTCAAGGCAAGGGAGAGTGAGGAATCCATTTGTGTGGCTGAGGTTCTGTGCAGGTTGTTGTTGGAGAACCTATCTATGACTTTTGCTTTACTCGTCCCCATGCTCTGCATAGAGATAGATCTATCGGTGTCCAGGGTTCCAGAAAGGACTAACATTCCCAAGCTTCTGGTCCTGTTGGCAGACTGTGGAGGGCAAATGTGTAGGAAGACGGGGAAACAAGCCTCTGGGCAGTGGTCACAACTTGCTGGAGAGGCAACAAGTGTGCAGTGAGGTGGTGTATAGAGTGCTGGGCTTGGAGTCAGGAAGACCCGAGTTCAAATTTGACTTCAGATACTCGCCAGCCGTGTGACCCTGGATAAGTCACTTAGCCTATGTTTGCCTCAGTTTCCTTATCTATAAAAAGGAGATAATAATAGTACCTCCCTCCCAGTTTGCTGTGAGGATCAAATGAGATAATATTCATGAAAGAGCTTAGCACAATGCCTGGCACATAGTAAGCGCTATATAAACATTAACTATCATCATCATTATTATTAAATTACTACTGCAATAAAATTCTGGGTTCCAGTCCCAGTTCTAACTCTGTGACCTTGAGAGGAGCTTCAGTTAGAGAGAGGTATATGGTCACACAGTATGGGCAGGTTGGGATGAGTTATGAATTGGATTTAAATGAGACAGAGTTTCACACAGTTGTCAGCTTCACTCTCTCTTCCTGAATCATCAAAATCCAGTGGCAAGACAAAAATCAAAATGACTGGTGATGGCCCAGGATGCAGCAGATCGAAGACCTTGGTGTCGCCGATGTTTGACCCAGCTCTAAGCTCTCCAAGTGCCTGCTTCAGCCTGCTTCGTGGCTGGTGGAACAAATTGTTCTCATCCACCTGTTCTGCTGGGGAAAGTTTTCATATGCTTGGGGTAGACACTCCCCTAACTCAATGACAGGCCTGTCAGTTACCCTCAACCTTGTTTAGCCCTTCTGCCAAGACACTTTACCTAGGAGGTTTCAATCGGAGTGGGGAGGAGTTGGCGAATTGTAATAGTGATGAGAAACAGAAGAAATGAAAGAAAGGAGTAACAATGAAATGTTAAAAAACAACAGAAGAGAGCCGAAAGAAGTTCAGAAGGGGATTGAGAAGCAGAATTTTTTTTTATTATGTTAAATTTAATATGCAAACTATGCAACAGAAGTTCACATTTTCATATGCAATCTTCTTTGTATATTCAAATCTTGATGTTGCAGTTCATAATAAAAAATTTTAAAAATTTAAGTTACTTTATATTCACCTTACAGATACTTTGCTTGTATGCACATACATTATTCCCTTTATAGAAGGTAAACTTCTTGAGTCCAAAAACTGTTTTTTAAAAAATTTTTACTTTTACCCCCATTGGCTAACACAGTACCTGGCATATGTTAGGAACTTAATAAGTACTTGGTTGATTTGATTAGAAGTTTTCAAAAGAAGAATTGCAGAGTATAAATAACCATTTGAAAACATGCTCCAAATCATTAGTGGTAAGAGAAATGGCAATTAAAGCATTTCTGAGGTTTTCCCTCACATTGTTACATGTCTTGTTTTGTCTTTTTTTGTGAATGTTGGGAAGACAAGAACACTAACAAATTATTGGTGGAGCTGTAAACTGGTCCAACCATTCTGGTTATCAGTTTGGAATTATGCTAAGAAAGTAACTGAACCATTCATATCTTTTGGCCCATTGCTGAACATATAACTTAAAGAAGTAAAAGACAGAAGCAAAGGTCTAATATATAAAAAATAATTTAAGCAGCACTCTTTGTAATAGCAAGAATTAGAAACAAAATGGATGCCTGGCAATTGGAGAATGACTGAAAAAAATTTGACATAAGAAATGTAATGGAATATTATTGTACAATAACAAT